CTCAGTGGCCTGCGCATGCGCCGCGTAGCCTTGGCGGGAAGCGGAGCGCGGCCGCCCCCTGCGCTTGCACCGCGTGGCCTTGGCGGGAAGCGGAAGCGGAAGTGGGACGCGGCCGGGCACGCGGGGCGGCTCGACGGCTATGAACGGGACGCTGCTGTACGCGCCGCCCGTGGCCGTGGACCTATGGGGCCGCCGCAGGACGCGCGGCGCCCGCGCCTTCTTCCTCACGCACCTGCACGCGGACCACACAGCCGGTCTGACCCGCAATTGGCGGCGCCCGCTGCACTGCTCCCCCCTCACGGGTCGTCTGCTGCGCCTTCGCCTGCAGGTACCGCCCAGCCCATCCCCCATCCCTCCGGCTTCGCCCAGCCCAGCCCTCACCGCCCCTGCCTTCCCTCTGTCCTTCCCCCCAGGTGGATGCGTGCTGGATCCGGCCGCTGGAGGTGGGGCAAAGCCATGCCGTGGCGCTGGATGAGCGGGGCCAGCGCACCATGACGGTGACGCCCATCGATGCCCACCACTGCCCTGGCTCTGTCATGTTCCTCTTTGAGGGGGACTTCGGGGTCGTGCTCTACACAGGTACTGCTGGGGTTTCGGGGCCGCCTGGTCGCGTGCCAGCTTCTCCCTCGCACCCAGCGCCAAGGGCCTGGGAGACAGCAGGGACTATAGCCGCACCCCTTCACACGTCCCCCATGCCAGTCCCTGCACCTCCCACGGAAGATGGGAGGACTGGGGCGGGGCGGCGAGCAGAGTGGCCCGGGGCCTTCCACATGAGGAGATGGGCAAGGCTCAGTGTAGGAAAGAGGTGCTGGAGGGGGGTGGGAGAAAGGTTTATGATGCAGAAAATGGCAAAGAGAAAGTCCACAGGGGTTGGTCATAGACTCTCTCCCCAGGAGGAGGGGCTGCCGCATGAAATGTGCCAAGCTGGTCATCCATTTAAAGCCAATCCCAGGAATCTCTGTTTCACGCAGCGTGTTGTGAAAGGCCAGATGTGGTCTGAAGAGGAGGCTGCGCCCCTCGGTCACCTGCTCAATGGCCACTGAGGCCCCTTTCCTC